AACAGATACAAGTCGTAAAAGTGAATATCTTAATTCACGAGTTCATGAAATGAGACTTAATTTAGCACACATAAATATACAAACAACTGTTCAGTTGTATCTCATTTATACATTCACTTCCTTAAAGTTACGTTTATCATAGATTATTGCTTTATTTTATATTATATCAAAGACAATTCGGTCTTAAGACTCCTAAATTTAAAAAATCTTACCGTTTATTTATATATAACTTAACTATTTTACTAAATAATTTAAAAATATATTTTGTTATCGCAGTCTTCTTCATACACTTGGAACCGCACCAACACTAACTTGTAAGTAATGAAATGTATATATATATATACACATACAATAATATTGATATCCATTTTGGATAGAATCAGATGCTATTTTAATTCGTGTTGACTACTTTAACTTTAATTAAATTGGACAGAATTATAAATTATCTATTTTTATACCTTAATATTTTAAACTTTTCTATGTATATTTGGTTTTTATTTCGATTCGAAAAGTATTAAATTATTATTAATTATGCAATTTTATTAATTAATAATTGAGATTAATCATAATTTAATAATGTGATGAGTATCATCAAAATTTCATAAAATCTTGGTAATTTCTATAAAATAAATTTTTAAAAATGTATTAAATTCTTTTAAAAATTTTTAAAATAAAGAAAGAAATAAATTCAATAATGGATGTTTCGAAAATACTTTTAAATATTAAAAACGTTAAATAAACACGATAAAAATATAAATCTGAGAGATTAAGAAATGGTGAATATTTTATTTATATAATGTTATAATGCAAAAAATGTATTAAAGACGGAAGGAGTGTTTGTATTAGTTTGATCCTCCTTTATAGAATAATCGCATATAGATTTTTATATAAAAAGCAGAAAAAATATTACATAAAATGCATTAAAGTAATGTAAAAAAATGACAACGTGGTGCATTATTTATATAGAAATGTACAGCAAACTTCCCTTGTTTCTAATAAGTTCAATACGATTTTGAAGATTTTCACTGTAAATGTAAGAGTTGTAAAGCAGCTCTGTTGAACTATTAATAGCGAAATCTTCGTTGGAAATATTAAATTTAAAAGAAAAACAAAGTTAAATATAAATATAAACATTAATATCAAATATAACACTAAATATATATCGAAAAAAATATGTATATAAAATGTATTATTTTCTCCTACATTATCTTTAAATTTTAATTTTAATGTTAAACTATTATTATTATTATTATTATTATTATTTTAACTTCTACAACAAGAAAAGTTCTCTTATAAACGGAGAAAATATATTTTTTTTTAATTTAACGAGCATTTCTTTTAAAACACTTAATAAATTCAATTATGTTCTGAATAATTTAAATCCATTATTAATAATAATATTCGAGATTAATACAGCTTATTATATTTAAAAATTAAATAAGCTTATTATATTCTTTACAGCTTACACAATACTTTAAAAAAGGATAAAAGAATTCTATAAAATATTTCATTCTACTTCATTTAATTCATCTTAAAAAAGAATTTATATGAAATACTTCCTTTTTAAAACGAATTCAATAGAACAGAATGATTTTCATTACAAAGTTAAATTAGAATTAGCAAGAATTGTGTCCTCGATATTTAGTCGCTATTATTTAAATTAACAGAGAATAGTTTAACATAAAAGGATTTAGTTATAGATTTTAACCTTCTCTTAAAATATTTAAAACTTTAAACATTAATTATAAGAAAGTTTATCGTATGTAGAGTTTTTACACAATTATAACAATTAAAACGAATTTTTTCTGCGTACGTTTGTATGTCTGTCCCATTACTAACATTTTCAAGATTAACAATTTTTATTATACAAGTTTAGAAATTATAATGAATTTTTTTGTTTTTTTTTAAAATTATATAAAATATAATTTTATTTTTCGCTTAAAGAAGAAAAAAATGCATTTAAAAAGAAAAAGAATTCCTAATTAACAAAAAGTAAATAAATGAATTTTAATAACAAAATTTTAATTTCGAAAATGAAATTCCTAAAAAAGCTAACATACTTTCGACTTTTATTCTAATATTTGTCTTGTTTAATTAGTGTTTTTAAATTGATTACATTGTTTGATTACTTTTCTTTTGTTCTGTTTCAATAAATAAATAGAAATTGCCACATTTATTTATTAATAAATATTTAAAACTATATCAATATAAATTTTTATTTTTAATTATCTCATAAAAAGTTTTATAAAAGTCAAACAAAATATCATAACAGATGCCACCACCAATGTTACCGGGAAAGTTAAGCAACTCGTTGTTGGATTTTTAAAATGGCGACTGTAAAAACGTCACATTAATGAAATATTTTGCGCTTGTTTGATAGTCAAAAAACGGAATCTACAGATCTGTACTAAGTTTAAAGAGAAAATATAGAATAATGTTGCTTGGAACTTCCTTTTAATTACATAAAATCGTGTTTATTCGGTTTATAAATTGCGTTGCTTAGCAAAACACTTTACTATCCGAATAAATGCGACGTTTTGCACGGATAAACACTACAAGAGATCAAAAAATTTATACGTAAGCGTGCACATTCAGAAATTCTAATTTATTTATTTAGAAAATTACAGCTTAAGTTATTCATAACCATGAAAGCGAAAGAAAATTAGAAATAAAGAGGTGGTAAAGTAATTGAATTAGTCTATGCCAGAATAGTCAACTACATAATACTTGAACTCCTTTATAAAGGTGACTACAGACAAGTATTAATTAAGGGGTCGTCCATAAATTACGTAAGGGCGATTTCGGTCATTCTAGACCCCACCCATCTCTGTGTAAGAAACCGCAATACTGTATTTTCTTTGATCCCCCTTCCCTATCTTATGTAATATTTTGGCATGATTTCATAGAAAAATTTTAACAAAAAAAATTTTTTATGAATCCCTAAAAACCTTACGTCAAAAATATATAATTATTAATTAGTTAATTAATATGTGCTATTATTTATAAAAGACTTTATGTGAACAAATTTAAAAATATAAAATTTAATGAATACGAATGAACAATTTATTTTAAGAACTTTATATTTAATTATTAACAATCTTATTATTATTATCATCATTAATCAACGTCATAATATTTATTTTTATATTAATTTTAATTTTCACAAAAGACACAAAAAACTTTGCCGGATCGACTAGCAAGTACACGTGTAAACAGAAACGTCATACAAAATAAAACAAGAGGAAATAGAGAGAAACCACATTCCGTTGCCATATTGATTACATCTTGACTAAGGTCAAAAAAATAAACTACACGCTGCTAAAATGTGCTAGGTGCACCTGGGGACTAAATGATAATGCTTATAAAACTCTATATAATGGGGCAATACAACCAATGCTACTTTACGCGGCCTCTGGCTGTGGTCATGTAACTAGTAAAAATTCAGTAGCGAGTAAAAGCTCTCTCTTCAAAGCCAGTTTGCCATCAGAATTTCAAAGCGCTGCAGAACTGTTTTTACTAATGCCTCTCTGATACTAGGGGAGCTCTTTCCTTTGCCACTATGTATTGTAGAAAATGTTCTGAACGACTACATCAGAACTACAAACGTCAAGGTTCAACAACGGTCTCTATTCCTATCTACGGCTGTTCGTATGCTACGACATTGCAATTACCCTACTATCTCTGATCGTCATCCTGTAAACAAGGTTATTTGGTGTCATCCGCTTCCTCCGTGGATAATCACGCAGACATTAATATCTACATAGATGGGTCCCAAAGCTCCCTTCTTGTCGGCTCGAGTATCTGTATCTTCCTCCAAACTGACATATTTTGGCAAAAATATGTTAGAAGGTAGAGATACCTCCCACATACTTCCATCTATCAAGCCGAAGATGATGCTGACTACCAAGCTGTTCGGTATTATCTTTGAAATTCCAAATAAGGATTTGCTTTATTTAAATAAGGAAATTTGATTTCTAACTTTAATTTTAAAACAGATGAAGTAAGTAATCTTATAAATAATACATAAATTTACATTTATCATACTTGTTAGATAAATTGCCATTTATTATGAATAAATATTTTTTTGGATAGCATTACTTATAAAGTTTGCCTTGTCTTATAGCTTCGTATTTCTGGTATTCTATAGGGAAATAAAACAAGCCATTTGTGAAATAAAACGAATGCATTAGCTTCCTACTATCACTAAAATATTTAAGTGAATATAAACTTAAGTATTTAAATTTCCGTAAATGCCAACAAGTTGTTTCAATGAACAATAAAATTATTTCATTGTTAATAAGTTTGTTTGCTAACATTTTGATATTCGCAATTTGATTTTCTTTATTGCTTTTGATCAAATGCGTGGCATTCACTAAAGCTTCTATACTCCGAACGGTTGTCTCTGTTTATTTTAATTCTATTCCGGGTACTTTTAATATCCTTTCTGCGTAGGTACTAAGCGGAAAATTGGTAGAGAAAGATAAATCGATTGGAATATACTTAATACAATGTGGTTTCTTTCGTTGCTAAAGTGGAGTATAGCGATTAATTTATGATAATGTCATATCTCACAATGAACTACACGAATAGCTTCAATTTTGACCATCAGAGCCGAACTTAATCTGCAATGAGCTCGAATAGCTTGCGTCACGAATAATAAACAAAACTTCAAATGAAAAAATTTCCTTTAGAAATCGTAATGATCCGGATCAAAATTGCACCAGATTCCTCATTTTAGCAGGAAGATTATAAGATGTGATAATAGATTAATTTTAAATTAGAGGAGGCAATATTAAATTAACCGATTTTAGTAAACTTCTAAATATATAAATGAGAATGTTTGTTTGTTTGTTCGCTATACACTCGTACGCCGTTCGACCAATTGCTACCAAACTCAGTAGTTACATTCAAATACTTCTAAGTTACATCATATCGTACGTCTCACCCCAAAATATCGATTGAATTTCTTAAAAAGAAATTAATTTTTATTTACAGTCGATTTTCTGAGTTACACGTAGCGCTATCTATTCGCGAAGAAGTTAACAAAATAAGTTAACAAGTAAATAGATACAGCAATCTACATTCCATTCTCATATTACTTCAAAATGTATTTTGAAAAATTACTTGCTTTTTCAGATTTCTTATAATTTTAAAAAGTTATTGAGTAACATAATTAAATTGATATAGTAGGATTTTATTCAGAATTTGTTTATGTTGTTGTAAGTTTAAACGGCTTCAGAACTTTCTTCAAATTTTTTAAGAGGTTCCAGTCTTTCTCGGTCATTTCTAACTTGTTTTAGTGATAGTTTTGTCGTACATGTCATTTATAACCGCTTCTCTTTGCTTCAGAAATCCTTCAATCATTTGAATTGTTAAATTTTAACGGGTTTTCTACGATTAAATCAATTTGCATTTAGACAAGTTGTGACCTTCCCGATAAGCGAATACTGCACTCGTTGCAACTGCGGAATGTTCGAAATGCTCGACAATCGCATTGCACTTACTAATTAATAAATTCTTCGCAACATCCTTATCATCGAAAGTTGCAAGCTATGCGATAAACAACACATACTATTGTCAACTTTCAATGAACGTGTCATCACACTATTTACAGCATTTTTGTGTACCGCTGCACGAACTTTATTCCAATTATTTATTACTATTTTTAATTTAGTTTCAAAGTCTTTACTTTTATGTTTTTCTAACACATTCCGTTGTCAATGTATACAACATTGGCTCTCATTTAACGACGGAATGCGGTTACTTCATAAATGCATCCATGTTACGCCACATCCAGCAATCTATCGTTGAAGCAACACTATCGATGTTTAATAAAATTGATAGATACTGCCTTTTATATTGTATAATATATTCTGAATTTTATGGTATTTTGAGCAGAAATTTTATAATTACGGGTCATTTTTAATTGACTTTTTCAAATCCTTAACTTTTATAAAAGGTAAAAAAAAGCATATTTTCAGCAATCATACTAACTAGTGTCTGGCCTATTGAGAGTCATGGTAGAGATTCCGCGCCAAGTAAAACGTCACTGACTGACTATATACATGGTATATGGAATCGGAGTCGCCAATACTCTGGACCGTCCCCCAAACCCCCAAACGCTTAAAGTAATTCTGAATATCTCTTCCAAATAACAATTAGATAATTGCTTTGTTAGGTAGTGTGCAAAATTTTAGATTTTTTAATAAAGACGTCGTCGAAATATAATCAATTATAAAGTGCAAAATCCGCCAAAAAACTGTGTTTCTTCCACTTCTTATTGTTCATTCGGCACTACAGAATCTTCTAGAGGATGAACTAATAAGTCTAGAAAGCTGAAATTATACACTTAAGTATCTCTGATTATCACTAATAAATATTATTTCGAAATACTTCTGCCAAGTGTGCTTAGTCCGTGGAAAATCTTACGTGTCAAATTTGATAAAATCTTCACACATTAAGCCACAAAGCCACGTCAAGGCGACACCCATTTTGTGGTAGTTTTTTGATTTCCAGAAACTGACCCTGATTGCTTGACAGAATAACAATCGGGAAGTAAAATTGGATATTCGTTGCTATTCGATGAATTCATTAAACCGAAATCGGTGGCAAAAATCCAATTATTATGTTATTTTAATCAAATGTTTTTTGGGGAAAAATCGTCATAAAAATTTGTCAATTTAAAATAAACATAGCAACGAATAAAAGATTAGACTAAAAGTGTAAATATAAATAACTGTAGATCAAAGTGTCTCTCGTCGTCAAACAGAACATCAATTTATACCCCAAAGGTCTTTCAACACCCGAATGAAGACAATTTATCAGTCGTCATGTCCTCTACGAAAGAGAAAACCTTTGTTACCAATCGTAAATTGTTTTTTAAAGCGAAATGGAAAACTAACCTGAAAATAGAGTACAAGTGTATACTTTCATTTTTCAGACTATACCATATAAAAGTCGTTGGGTTGACAACCGAGTTCTATTCTTCTTTCTCCTCCCGGGTTTATATGGAGATTATAGCCTTAGTTCGCTTTCTCTCCGACGAGCGTCGCCGTCTATCTAGATAAATTGGCCTGTCCTTGATATATATCGCTCGAGTATATTCACGTTTCCTCGGGTGAGTTTCCGCGTTCGGCCAATAAATTGGGGACAAAGTCCTTACTACTGTGAAGTCCAATGCCAGACTACGACCCAGTTCCTGGCCGGCCACCGCGTAATTCGGTCAGTACATCCAATAGTGACCTGGTGTCTCTGCTTCCCCACAATGGACGCACGGAGTTCTATTGAAGAACAGAAAGCGTGTTAATCTGACATATGCTGGTCACTGACACAGGTTGAATTCGATCTCGATGCGTTGTCTCGCGTCATCGTCCTGAAACGGAAAAATACTAGAGTTTACATGGTTCTTGACTTATAGGACATACCTGTCATCAGTGCGAATCTTGGAGCAGAAAGTTCCATCATTCTCCATCAACCAACGTTAGAATCGGCGGTGTCTCATTCATTTTTGCGCTGATTCTAGTGCGGGCGATGTGAAAAACGGCCATTATTTTCTTCTTTGTATAATTAGATAATTTACTCACTGTTAGAAGTTCTTCTTGCTTTTAATCTTTTTTGAAACCCGAGCTGTGCGAATGCCTATCTTCACTTTTCTTGCTAACAAAGAAAAATAAATAATGCTTCGAATACTACTTATTGTCAAAGAATAGAAATATTGTTAATCAATTGTTGGCTTTCTTTACATGATTTTTCAAGGCCGGATGGCCGAGGATTAAGATGGCAGCACGGTCTTCTGGGGACTTTGAATCGAGCAGATACGTATCCGTTCCCGATATATTTGGCTCCTTTTTCACTATACGGCCGCCCCATTGTGTGCTTGGCCGAAGCCGTAATGGTCTCGATAAAAAGGTCCTCTTACTTCCCACACAGGGTGGAAACAGTAAAAAAAACGTGTTTCAAAATGAAAATGAAATCTTCTATATATATACTATATCTATAAATAGAAATGAAAATGTTTGTTTGTTTGTTCGCTATAAACTCCTAGGCCGTTGGATCAATCGATCAACGAAACTCGGTAGTTACGTTTAAATTAGATAGTGTCTTACGTCCCACCCTAAAATATCGATTGCATTTCTATTAATTTTTATTTACATTTCAGTTTTTGAGTTACACGTAGCGCCATGTATTGGCAAACAGTTAACAAATTAATTAACTAAATATAATTCTTACAAAAAAATATATAATTTTTAAAAAATACGTATTATATTCACCGAATTACTGCGACAACGATATAGCGCGAAATAGATGCGGCATTACCCCAATACTGTGACAGGTAGCGCATAGCACTTGTCTCAGTGGTGTGTAGTAGTGTTTTGTTCCCGTACATCATACTTTTTCGGTTAGCAATAGACTCGTGCTAGTTATGCATCTAACTCCGTTCTAGAAATTAAACAAGGTCAGAGACGAATAGACGACTGGAAATTTATAGCTCTACAGTTTTTTAAATTGCAGCCCATTTTAATTAAGTATGTAGTATAGTAACTGAGTGGATAAAGCCACCGAACACCGTTAGTCGGTGGTGGGTTCGCACACGGCCAACGGAATGGCCTAGCGGAGTTTTCTGGATTTTCTTCGCGTTAGTAACACTTAAATTGGGGGGGGGCAGCTTTACATAAAAGTCTTTCCGGGATGTATCCTTTTCAGCAGATCGCTCACGTGTCGCGTTGCCACAACCAAATATACCGAAACAATTTTAATAATTTTTCTATAAAAGCGATATTTACGAGGACACGCTTAACTGTCGTGAAACCCGGACACCCCTCCCCTCCCATAATTTCATCTCTCTTTACTAACTCATAAACCATTGCCCAAAACTTCCTAGTGATACTGCTGAAAGATGTTCTAACATTCAGCCAAATTAATGTATGTGCAACGATCTTAAGAGCTCGAAGTCTTTTTCTGTACCGATGTTTATTTGTCCTATTTATTATCATGGAATCATTGCTTTATTCAAAATTTCCTATAGTTATACTCTGTGTAATGTGACCATTATTCACATGTTGGGCCTTACTGTCAAATCTGCATCAACTATTTTTATGCCACAAGTTTCAAAAGTTTCCTTTATTTAGATGTTTTTGCTGAGTTTTACTTTTTCAACGTGGTTTTACCATCTTTTTTAAAAGAAATTATTCTGTAAATAACCTTTGTAAATATAAATCAAATACTATAATATAAGGGTTAGAAGTACGAAATAATCTAATATACTTAATGTTTGTTGTTATTTTTTGCCCGGCAACGCTATCCTTCCCTGCTACTTTTCTATAAACGGCCACTGTTTTTAATTTACAAAGTATTCTGATTGAATAAAGCAATTAAAATATTTTAATTTAATAAATATTTACATATTAACGGGCTATCCAGAAATGCAAAACAAATTCGGTGGATTTTTTCTATATACACGAATGCTGAGAGTAAATAATAAGTAAATAATCGTCTATTAATTATGATTATCATTAATCTATATTATTTTTGTTTTATTCAATTTTACATAAGCTAATGACAATTAATTAAAGTAGATTATTTTAGAAAGAATGATTTTCTTTTTCACTTTAATTAACTGATTAGGAAAAAAATTAAAATGTCAATGAAAGAATGAAAAAAAGCATTAAGGAAAGATTAAATTACAGAGAGAAACGAAGAATCTTCTACTGAAATAATACTTCAAAGTGAAAAGAAATTACCACAAAAAACCTCATTAAAAACGCTTCATTTCTCGAAAGTAATTCGTTTGGATTTTAAAAGACCGTTTAAATATATAAGTTCATTTTTAATGATATTTTTCTTTAATAAACTTATTAAAGATATTGGGAAGACGGGATCGGCTCTGGTGTATCTACCGTCTCACCGTTTAAGATGTCGAAAATACACGAATATTTTGACTCTCGTGGAGTATTGTCAACATTCCCGACACCACTTAGTCTGGTTTGCAGACTAAGAAGCAAAAATAAACTTATATTTTCGGAATTTAAGGAGGGTTTGTCTTAAACGTTAAACGACATAGTTCACGTGGATCGATGATGGACTTAGGCATTAAATTCAATGACAAGTTAAGAATATATTTAAACATAACTACATTTATCATCTATACATAAAGGAGTATAAATAGTATTGATATGAACACAAATGAGAGAACTTCAAATCTATCCCGCTAAACTAGTCTGAGAGAGAGGGAGAATCCTTGGGAAGAGTAGAAGTGATGAACCGGGAGAAGGATGAGAGCGTTGGCTAGAGCAAAGAGCGCCAAAAACAAGAGCAAATTTTTCTTTCAATGAATTGACTTTAATAAACTTCAATTGATATTAAATTAAACGTAACTACATAAGCACAATGTAACGTGTTGATCGAAGTATAATTTTATATTATAAAAATCACTGTAAGAAAAACTACAGGTAAGCATGCTTTTACAAAATCGTAGAAGGCGCAAGATTTTATTTGTAGAAAAACAGATATTATCACCAGTCATACTTACAGTAGAAATTTTAAGCGACATGGGACCAACTTTAAAAGATTTATAAAGAAATACTATACATAAAAGAGCCATTACTAATTAACTATAAACCATAATAAATTTATTATACAATAGGAAATTTTAGTTTTTATACTACTGTAGACATGTAAAATATTTATGTCGTTAACAATACATTATTGTTAATAAATTATTTACATGCAGTATTTTTTTAAAATGATTTAATTATTATTTTTTCGTTCACAATTTATTTTAATGTTGATTATAACTAGAATACCCGATATATCGCGTGAGATTTATCTATAACACGATAAAAATATTCTATTGTCGCAAAAGATAGCGTAACGCCCCCCTTATATACGGATACTAAATAAACAGAAGCAATAAATCGTGTAGAAATTTGTAATGTCAATCAAGCTATTTTCTATACTTTTTATTTGGATATTTATACCAGGTAGGAATTTGTTTAAAATAACGTTTATATAAGTTATATATATTAAGTTTAAATTGATAAATATTCTGCCGATAACTGACATTAAGCAATAGTTTAACGGAGTAGTGAGCGCACGGAATACGCGTAGTTCCTTTCAGAACCTAAATAATAAATCAGATGACTCTATTAAAGTGTGTTCAGTTTCCTTTGTTATTGCTATCGACACAAGGTTATGCGATAATTTTAATTATTAACAATTAAACAATAAGCAGATACTCGTGCATGATCTACTTTCACGAGGCTAAATAGTCTCGTGAACATGTAGTCTGACAAAACAAGTCGCCGGACAATATTTGATAATTAATTAATGACTCTCTGCTTTCTAACGAATGCGGAATGTTGTCGAACAACTAATACTGCCGTAGAGGCATAAATTCTATTCGCACGTTCTTCCTTGTTTTCTATCTTAAAACTGTCCGCATACAACACCGAATAAAACGTTCAGCGGTGTCAAAATCTGAAGAAGAAACTTCATTTTCGTAAAATTCAATAACAATTACCAACTCAGAGATTTTGCTCTACATAATATCCTGTATTTCCTATCCTATTGACCTTACTTTTCACAACACCTGGATAACACTACACATGCACATATACAGTATATAGGATGTTCCGTTTATTCAATCCACCGGAATAACTAAAAAATTCCTCATCATACACACAAAAAAAATTTTTACACGGAAATTGTTAGACTTTAAGACAACGTGGTGTTACAATCAGTGAAAAACTAAGTCATTTCCTTAAATGGAAACCACCACTATGTATTGCCTATATTGATTCTACATAAAAATAAACATGTCTGAAACATTTTCCGAAAATGTACTTATTAGATGCTATGAGTGTTTAAAGTGTTATATGGCTGCCAGAGTACTCGCGCGCCTCTGTAAATATCTGTGAAGTCCACTGAAAAAGGATGAAAAATGATGAAAAAATCATTAGAAAACAATTATTCGATAGAATCATTCTTTTTCTTCTTCAGATAATGAACTGATACAAAAAAGCTAGTTAAAACCCTCGAGTATGCCATAAAGAGAAGAGATCAATCTGGATACCAACATATGGTTTCCTAATATTTTAAGGCATTTCACATTCTATTTACAGTAAACTTTACAGATATTCATAAATCTGCACGCGTGCTATGATGGTTATATAAAACCTCAAAGCTGTGGTTTGTAATAAGTACATCTTTCGGACAAAATGTTTCATCTAAAAGCTTGTGTTCTACATAGAATTAACATGCAATAAAATATGAAGGTTACCATTGTGGAGGTTAATCCTGTTTTCACTGACAGCGCAATCTTCTGACCACTTCAAAGTCAATAACAGTTTGTTTGTAGGAAGCGTATTTTTTCACTTACTTCAGTGGATTAATAAAAATTGGCTCCCTGTATACATATCTACTCTAATTTTTATCATATATAAAATATAACAGCCTTTATAAACATTACTTTCAGTCCTATACTGATAAAATATTAGGTGTTGATTTTAATCAACACTTTGTATACAATTGCAAAATTGTAATCTATGTAAAAGTGACTATTTCTTGAACATATGTTTGTTGTAGAATAAGAAAATACATATAAATTAATCTATAACAGTCTACTTTTTATCCAAATAGATAACTTGAAACCAACCGGAGGAGATATAAACATACCAAAATGGCCGAAACAGATCGAAACTTTCATTCGAGTTGTTGTTGAAGAAAGCGACGAAGAACTGCAAATACAAGTACATTACGACAAGGAAAACAATTCGATCGCTGTAATTACAGAAACAGATGCGGAATCCACAGAAATCAACATATATTCGTTCGATAGTGACGAATGGATAAATATTAAACGTATCTTTTCTTGGCTCATTTACTTAAATACATTCTTCGTTCAAATATTAATAAATTGTCAAATATAATTTTCAGAAACCGAATGCCAAGTGAGTCCAATACCGGACAGAAAATCGTCTATAATTGTTTATTCCATCGATGAAAATAAAAGAAAGCTAATTGGGGACATCGCATCACTTGTCTTTTTCGATCCAAATGTTAAGGTAAAACAATAAAATAAAATAATTAATACGAAAAAATGATTTATTTTTGTTTATTTTCTGTCTTCAGGCAGAAATAGCAGATTTATCAACACTAGAAAATGGAATTCCAGTTGAAAAGTGGGAGACCCGTAATCTTAACATTACCCAACTAGATGCTCAATGTAATTTAACTCACAGTTTAACCAGTAAGTGCATACAACACCATTAATTTCTCTATGTAAAGAACAATTACGAGAAAGTTTTATCGTTTAAGCAACTCACTGGAACAATCCGGGATATAAATCCTGTGACGATAAACAAAATCAACCTTGCGGTCAGATTATATTAATGGAAGTGGATTGCTATAACGAGGAAGAAGGCAGAAGATTAACTTTCAAAGCCGAATTTTTTAATACGAAAAATTATATATCCAACAGAGAAGTTTTCCAGGTAAACACACGGAGGTGACGACTCGAAATATATTTAAATGTTTTCTCTATTTAATTATTTATATATTAAAGCAACCGGAAGGAATTTATTGCGAGAACAAAAAGAGTAAAAGAGGATTTCCTAAATTGCCGAAATATTTTGCTTTCGAATTCGAGACTTACGATTTACAAGTACAAGAACCAAATAAAGACGTCTGGAATTTCCACCAAAGGGTTTGAAAAAATTCAATTAATTATTACTTTAAAGATTTTTTTAAAACTGTAGAACCTTTACAGATTTGGTTCGATAAAGAAAACAAATTAATAAGAAGAGACGAATTACAGCAAAATTTTGAAACTACAACCACAATTATTCAGGATTATGATAGAAGTAAATATGAACCTTCTTACGAATTTAATTAGGTTTACTTTTTTGATTTAAAGTGTAAAAGAATAGAAAAACAATGCATTAGAAAGAGAAGAATTGAACGAATTCTTGTTTTATTCAGGAATCGTCTATTCGATTGACAAGAAAACGAGAAAGTGCGACCTGTGGAATTTAACAAATGACGAAATAATGGAGAAAAGTACGGTACTTCCGGGAGAATCGTATCCATGGTTTCCGGAATCGTCGACGAAAGAACCACAATATGTTGGACAGGTGAGTATCTCACATACTTAAGCCACTTGATATAGTAAATATCGGAAGAGCTGAGCTAAATTGTCTATTGTGTGAAGATTTTATAAAAATAACAAACAACAACATTGTTTATTAAATCGGATGGTCACTTTATCAAGAGTTATATATATATATATATATATGAAAAAGCACGAGAAATTTATCATGAAATTTGTTTCATAATATTCCGTATAAATTTCAGTATTTCATCTCTGGGCTAATATTTCTGAATCCCGTTATTGAATGGACATAAATCAATACAGTTTCCTGTTGTGATTTACTCACTCGTATAATTTCCTGTTGCAATGTAACAGGAAATTATGTAAGCGTATCATCGAAGTGGTAAATACAATAAAATCTTAGAGTTTATAAAAATTGAAGAGATTAGTGGAATCTATTTAAAAAAGGATCTATTAAAAGATTCTTTAATAGAAGTGTAATTTGTTGTGACAATATTTAAATAAACACGCAATCAATTCACAAATTATCTTATAATTAACGACGAACTAACTTGAAATAAAAGTGCTAAAAACATTTTTCAATTATCAATTGTATTTTAATTATTTTTATCATTACGTACTCTCAATTAAAAGAGTTAATTTAATTTGTATTGTAAACTGTATTCGTAGAGAAGAAAACACGATTTAATCTTCGAAGTTTGGACGAATCAATACAAAAAAGACGATTCTGTACTAATTGCTGATTATTACTTTTTGAGTGTAAGTAAAATAATTTTATATATAATTATAATTTACTTTACTTTACGAATTGCGTGTAATAAGGGCTTCAATATCTGAGAATTGTGACGTAATCTGATATTTACTTGTTGATTTTCGAAACGTAGGCATTGGAATTGACGACAGACCTTTGAATATTGAATTCGAAAATCATATTAAGTAATGTAATCTTGCTCGACAGTTTTCCTCTATACGCCGAATGGTTCATTTATAATTATAATTAATACTTGTGTATGTATGTCCATAAACACTGAGAAACTAATAAGTGTGAAATCATACTATCTAACAATAGTATTATTTCACACTTTGCCTTCAAGACAGTTGAATTCTTCCATATTTGGATTCAATGAAACCTCGGAAGTGTTCCGTAGGAATCGTAATCCACGCTGCACGTGTTAAGCGCAATGCGAAAGAAGAGATTGGTTTCATCCTATACATGCTGATTAATATTTAATGAATTTCATGACTAAATGCCACAACTTTTGATCGATGAAGAGCAAGAGTGATAATAAAATGTATCTGACGACTGACGAAAATCTAAACGGTTTGATCTGCGTATTAACAGGTGTAACATTCGGCTGATGTCCTCTGTCGTCAGCGTACATTAGCAGACTACATATTAACATAGTGTAAACGATCAAATAGAGATTCACGAGTCGATTTTTTCTTTAACACGTAGATTACGTTGCCGTTTTGTGTTAACACGCTTTACTGTGTGTTGACACAAAACGTCTTCTTACGTGTGTCTGCGTGAGAAGACGTTTTGCATGATAGTACGTGCATTGTGATATGAAACATTTTCCTGCTAGAAGCATTCATTTTTTATTTCATTAAAATTTTTTGTAGACCTCTTTTTTATTCTATAATAACAACAAATCGTCAACATTATGATAGGATGCAAAAATTTTTCTTCTGAATACCTCTATTATGGAAACTCTATAAAGCTTAAGCAAATTTCTGCAATCTCTTGCTACTGCAACCAAACAATTCTTTTTCAAAAAAAGTAAAAAAAAAATATGGATACGTATATTATCTGTTTTCTTCTGTTTTGCTTCTTCCTGGTGTGTTTTTCAATCCAAACAAGTCCAGATTTGTTTGGTTTGCCTTTGATCCGCATTTAGTTAGTTACTAGTTTGAGTAAAACTTTGTTTATTCTCATTATTATTTTCACTTACATGCTTCAAGTTTTGTATACGGTGTTTGTACACAAAATTTTAAAAAAAAATGATGTAAAAATAATAATTACTGGGAGAATTATAAAGAATAAATAAAATACATTTTATTACTTTATTTTACAAAAAGTAAAAATAAACAAAAGTACTAATATCAGACTTCAGTTGTTTCCTTTCTCCAGGCACCACCATTCTTCCTTTTCACCAATGCACGTTACCGCCTAACACAGAAATAAGCGGTGTAGAACAGCTTAGTTTAGTGCAATGAAACAGAGCAAGGGAAGTACACTTATAACACTTCAAAAGTTGTGAAACAACGTTTATAACTGTCTTAAAAAATCATGTCGTCTGAATAACTTGTCGACGGTATGACTTCGAGATCCTTGATATTTTTATTTCCGAAAATAATTCGGATCAAATGCATTGGTATCTTTACTGATAGTTCTCGTTCTATGTCCGGATGTTATGGAGGATTGCAAGCACTTTTTCGAAGCAAAGACTCTGATGAATTCTGGACCCATTGCACAGAGAAGCACTCGCATCAGAATATCTGAGTTCTGCATTGAACCAGAATATGTAGTACATGTAGTAAACTTTATAAAAACGGCCGTTGAAGGCAAGATTTTCAAAAAACTGTGAGAGGATATTGATCCGAGCACACGTCTTTGTTGTACTACAGCACTTCGAGAAATTACAAAACAATACCACGAGCGAGCGAGACAAAACATTACTTCTTTCGAGGTAACGTTTTGTCTCGTACGTTTGAACTGCGATAGGAAATTTATTACATATTTTTCTTAAAGAAGAAGACCTCATGTATGCCAAAAATTTTGTGAATGAAGACTTTTTGGTAAAACTAGCATACTTATGTGATTTTTTTAAAAACTGAATGCTTTGAATCTCTCCCTGCAGAGAAGCAACACGCACCTTCTAAAGTCGATTGAGAAAATTTCAGCTTTTATAAAACAATTAAAACTATGGAAAAGAAAAATGGAGATGGAGGAAAGGATGTTTCCTTTTGTTGCAACAGTGTTTGACTTCTAATGGAATTGATTTCTCTCGAGGTGTGAACTCTAATATTTTTTAAGAACATTTATCACAGACTGTCCACCTGGTTTGAGAAATATTTTCAAAATTATAATATCGATAAATTTGCGTGGATTCAAAAACCATTTAATGCCATTGCTCCATCTGAATTTAATGCTGCAGAAGAAGAGAATCTTATTGAATTGTTTCGCGACAATACGTTAAAAAGAAAATTTAGCAGCATGGAATTAACTGAACTTTGGATATCAGTAAAAGATGAATATCCCTTATGAGTGTTATTTCTTTCCATTGAAAATCAATATTTGCACTGAAAGTTTCCACCGTTAAACGAGTTCTTTACAGTGTTTTAACACTAAAGTAAACCAATATCGTATAAAATTGTATTAATTATTAACGTATTCATATTAATTGTTTTCTTAAGTAAATTTCGTAACGTCACAATTGATTTAAGAATGTATTTTACATAGGAAACGGGATTAGAAGACAAAGAAGTAAATACGTTTACTCCCGCATTTTTAGAAATAAGAATTATAGAAGATCGTCAAGTAAGTTTTACTCAATCAATTATGATTATTTTAATAATAATTATTATATTAAACATTAAAAATATTCAGTTTATAGCTTCGGCTTGGCAAACTATAAATAAATATAGAACTCATCCCGTAGAATGGATGGCTTTTGACGTTTCGGAATGTTTCCAAGAGACAAACAAACGGAGATTATCATTAACGTTATCCGGTAAGCGTAAATTTTTAATTAAAAATCTTACGTATAATAAAAATTTTCCAGCCGCAAATTAAGATTAATTCGAATTTTGATTTATGAAATTTATATTTAATTGTTTAACAAATAATTTAGGCCCTATAAAAGACACCGGCACGGATGTAATTGCAGAAAACCTACGTTCCAATCTTCTGAATTTATTAAAAATATCACCATTAAGATTTGGTGTACCTCAGGTAAGATATTTTTTTAAACAAAATTACCAACTTATTCAGAAATTTTTCAAAATACTCCATTAATTATAATTGGACAAATATAATGCATTTGGTTTCATAAAATAAGGCAACGTTGTACTAGAAATTAACTAGGTAATACTTGGTCCTTTGTATTGATAATTAATGCTTAATTAAACGTAAAACATACTTTTTATTATATAAGAAATTAATATTTGGCAGGTTACTTACGTTAACGACGAATCTATTAGATACACTTTAATCATTAGCGAAAGGCCTTACGCATTAGGTAAGAATTGTTTTAATTGAATAAAAGGAATATTTAAGGAGATAAAATAATTATTTACATTTTGTAGGGTTTGGAAAGAATACAAAAGAACCTTCTTTAGACGAGATTTATGAAACTTTAAAGAATAACGTTGAAAACGGAAATGTTCGATGTACATTGCCCAATGTAAAGAAGTTTTTATTTGTGTTATTATTATTGTTTTATTAGAGTTTTTATAAAATAATTG